TTCGTCTTCATCGTTACACAAATCAAACCACGACTCTGATACCACTTGTTGGATGGAAACTACAAATGCAACTGAGTAATTCAATAACACAATCTCTCCCAAATACCAAATGCAACGACAATCAACAAAATACACTAAACAACACAACAAAAATTTTATCATGGAAAAACCTTTGGTAACTCGTAGGATGCTTAATACCTCCATTATAATTAACAATGGGTACAAGCAAGATTCTCTCTAACACTAGTTAGAGGAATACATAAACATCATCAATACTTACAATCAATCTTGGAATACTATAAGAAACAAGACATATAATCAACCAAAACAACCACAAAACAACACCTCAAAAAACCACTCAACATACAGGTCTAAAAAACTCAAAATCAAATCTTCGTCATTCATAATTTACCTCTGAGTGTTGAACACTATCACTAAAAACGAGGACGATCTAACGGTTGGATTATGAGAAAACTTCAATCTCGTGAAATTGGTATGTGTTGAATTAGAGTTATGGGAACTTTCACTCTTCTTTCTACTTTTCTTTTTGTCTCTCACATAAATGAATTCATGACTTAATTCTCTTTGTTGGATTATAATAAAAACTTACACACATATGAACTATTAATCTACATTCATTTGGATCACTCCAAATAGGAGAAATAACCCAACACTAGTCTATATATAAGTAAGTTACATCAAATATTTAATGAATTAAAAAAATTATTAGGTAAGGAGAATGAGTATTAAATAACATATAGTCACATACTCAATTTTTTACCGTTCTGTCACATATTTGAAAATAAAATATTAAAATGCCACACATTAATTTTTTCCCCCAAATGTCATGTTTAATGAACTTGTTCGTCCATCCATTGAACGATCGTATGTTAGGGATTTTTTTTGCGCTCGTCCATCCATTGGATGAGCAGATGAATATTTAATAGTTTTTTGTTTTCTTTGATTTTTATTAATTTTTTAATAATGTATGCTTATTTGATACCCACATCACTTACCATTTAACTATTCATTTCACTCTTAAAACTGTTTCTAATATTTTCAAATCAAAATCAAAATGAATCGTCTAAAATTTTTGTACAAAGATTAAATAATATAATAATATTTTATAAAATATTACATATTATTAAATTAACTTTATTAATATATTAGACATAATTAAAAAATAATTAAAAAATACAATTAAAAAAATAATAATCATTATTATATTGAAAAATAAAAATTATGATAATTTAAAATAAATTTTATTTAATAAAAGAGAGTTGTCATAGATTAAAATAATGAAAAAAATATTTTTAAAATTATATTGCTAATGGTTAAAAATGAATGAGTTTTAAATACATAAATTCTATGTGATTAAAGAATCAGATATTTTCAAGGTTTCTTCATATTTATTACCATTTGTTTATTTCAAATGTGTGTTTCTCTTTTTAGTTCATATTTTAAACTTCAGTTTATTTCACAATTTTTGTTTTAACTATTTGTCGGTAGTAACACTTTGATTTTATTAATTTATATTTTATATGTCATTTTTATTAGTATTGATTCAATCAGGCCATAAAAAGTATTGCTCTCTTTATTTTAAATTAAAATTTTATTTGACGTTTTTATGCAAATTAAAAATTTTAATATTTTAAACTATCAAAAAATATTTTTTTTTTAGTTTTGACAAATCATTTAAGCCCTATAAAAAACTAAAAATGTTAATATTATTTATTTGTTTAAACTCATTTTCATAATTTTCATTTTTTTTCTTTATTAGAATAGAATGTTAATGATGAACACTTTACACCACTCTTTATTTGTTTTAAAAGTATGTCTTTAATTTTGACTATGTCTTAAAATTATGATAATTGATAGTTAAAGATTCAAACAACTTACTATTTAATTTTGAACATAGATTAACATAAGTATAGGGTGAATTTATATGAGAGGTGAATTTAATAAAATTACGGATATATTGTGATTGTATAAAGAATGAGAGGTGAATTCAAATTTTATTATTTATTTAAATACAATTAATTATATAAAGAATAGATAGATGTGTGTTAAATGATTTGAGTACTAAATAGGTATATAACATTATTTATGATAATTAAATAAAAATATAATATTATTTTAATAATATTATTATATTTTTTAATGTATATATAAAAATATTAAACCATCTATTTTAATTTTGATTTAAAAATATTGAAAGTAATTTTAAGAGTGAAATGAATAAATCTGGGATAAATGATGTAAATATCAAATAAGTATAAATTTTATTTATAAAAAAAATAAAAACCATCAAAATAATATATAATTAGAAAAACAAAAAATTATTAAAATATTAATCTATCCAATAGATGGACGAGCATTCAAAACCACAAAATCAGCCTGAGGTGACATTTGAGAAGAAAAACTTTAAATGTTGCATTTTTATATTTTATTTTCAAATATATATAGCAGGATAGTAAAAAAATCCATATACTCCACTAGCCCATATTTTATTTTAAATGCTTTAAAAACGAAAAGTGGCACTGTATTACACGAGAAATTAAAGAAAAATTAGGCGATGATAAGAAAGTTCATTCACCATATCACACGATGTCAAACAAATTGTCTCTAGAACACTATAGCTCCAAGTTCCAACCTCTAGCATAGTGGTACACGAAACGAAAAGGTAAGGTTTTAAGTTTCAATTGCGCGGCTAAATAGAGTATTTAATTCCAGGCACTGCAAACTTGTTCAGATTTCAGAAAAATTTTCAGAAGATTTTGATCGCTCATGCAATAACTACACTACAACAATTTTATACTCTACACAAGATAGAGGAATACATGTTTATGTCATTTATGTTCAAAAATTGTACAAAGAAAAATGACATGAAGACATGCTTCAGTTGAAATAAAATAGTTTTAAAATGTATGTTCACATTAATTAATTATAATATTCTCTCTTTTTTATGTTTTATTTTAGAGAAAAAATTGCATTAAAATATTAATCACTATCAAATATTAATAAATTATTAATATTATTTTTTATTTATTTATTATATCTCTTAGAATTTCTTTTAATATATTATTAAAAAATAATTTAATATAATTATTCATAACATTTTAATAGTTAAATTAACATTTGTGAAAGTGATAAAATGACATATAATAAATAATAAAGGATAGAAATGTGATAATAATACAATTTAGCTGCTTAAAAGTATTATAGTTTTAATAAAATAAATAATTTCCTGTCTAAATAATTAAGTAATTTTTTAAATGTTATTAAATAGGAGAGAAATAGTTTTAACAAAACAATAACTAATACACATATTTATATGAAAACAAGTAAAAAAGAATATTTTAATTATCTTTTGACTACATGAGAAAAAAAGCAAAAAAAGAAAACTCTTGAGACATTTCCCAGAGAGGTGCTCATCCATAATTGAAAATTTCTTAAATATATATAATTACAACCTTCATTTTAATTGAAAGATCCTTATTTAAAAAAGACTTGATGCTTTCGCATACATGAGATTTAAATCAATAAAGTGAAACTTGTGCAGGTTTGGAGTCCACTCACCGAACCAATCACCCATTTGTTATTCATTTTCCAAAATGATTCAATTGCACAAAATCATCCTCTCTCATCCCACAGTAATTCATCATTTTATAAAGAATAAGAAATAATAATAAATAAAAGAATAATGACAATAATAAATAAAAGAGAATAGTGATTTTATCAATTTATCATGATTAACTAATAATGTATTCAAATTAAATGCACAATTAAAAATATATATTAGAGATACAATTGAAAGATTAAATATAAAATTGCATTGATAATTTAAATTGATAAATATTTTAGTTCTTTTTTATAAATATGACACTTATTTTGTGAGAGGAAGTAATTCTCTAGATCTGCATTTACTTATGAAACCACTCATTTTTTACTCAGACTAAGTCTCTCATGTGAGCGATATTGCTATTGTGATGATTTTTTTTATCAAAGCATGTAGCAATAATGATTAACAACACTTTTTTTAATAGTAAAACTAAATAGAAGAGGTTTTTAGTGAAAGACCTATTACACCCTCATTTTTAACTTAAAATCACTATACTTTTCCTCCCAAAAAAAGTAGAGAATCCTTACGCCTAATTGACTGTGATTAGTGTTAATTGTACGTGTAATATTTAACGACCAAGTAAAATTGCACTTTGACTGAAAAGTGTGTAGTTCAAATATCCATTATACCTATAAGCGAGAGATACAATATATTACCCTGTGGTGTTTCAAACGATGCTTGGTTGGTTTTCCATTTTACACTCAGGTAAAAAATACGTACCTGATGATAATGACAGAGCAGAATGAGACAACCAAAAAAGTGTTGTAAATTGCAAACATGGTAAGCAAGCAAACGCTATTTTCATCGAAGAAAAGTGTGCGTGTGATGGGACAAGTTTGTATTTTTATTCGCTGTTTTGTTTTGGGAATAAAGTAACCGACATACACATACTGCATGCAACATTACACCACAATCAAGGCTGTCATTCACATACTTCTAATCTAACCATCACTTCACAACCAACAAACCCCCCAATCTCAGCGTTACATATTTAGTACCCATTTTTTCTAGGCTAAATTAAAAGATTACAGAAACTTCAAGAGAACAGATCCATGTTATGACAATGTTTAGTATTAAAGTCACACTAAAATCACATAAGACTAGAAGATCCAGTTTTTTTAAAGTTTGCAAAATAGACTACTACATAAAATCTCAAATTTTTCACAATTTTTTTTAAAACAACAATGCATTGTCACAGTTGGAACAAATCATTAAACCAAGTTTTGATTGGAGCATGACCATGGTTGGGATTAATACGCACCTTTCAATTATACATATATCATCATTTAAATGAGTGGAAATAAGAAAAATTCTTACTTGAATTTCCCATATATATAAAGCACTTGAATTCACTATATCCCACTTCCACGATACAATCATGTTTAGTACAATTTTAACATTTAACAAAATAATTCATACATGTATGACCAATTTCTCAGAAGAAAAATGGAGGTGTCCATTACTATGGTTTTGGTGTATAAATGGAGTTGGAATCTTCTCTATTTCTTCAAAGAAATGGAGAGTGCATTTACTAATGTTTCCATGGTATAAAAATCAAAGTATGCCTATGTCATACATTTCAAGAATCAATACTTTAATAATAACACTCTATTGCTTTGAAAAAATAGCAGGATCTCAACTCATATAAATGTGTAACTTTTAATTTCTTGAAAACTATAGTAATGAGCTCCATTTCTTTTAATAAATGGGGAGGATAAAAGATATTGAGAGGATCCTTACTCGGCCACCCTGCAAGAAAAAAAGAAAAAACAGTTCATTGATTTTGCCTATAAATAAATGTACATTTTTGCAATCATGCAAAACAAAATAAAGCTAGAACCATTATTTCCACACAAAAAATCATTGTTTACAATCTGGCAGCACTTGAGGTTCATGATCTTCCACAGCAAAAACCTAGATGAAATTGTTAGTTCACTGAAATGGAAGAATGTTAACTAACTAAAAAAATTCAATATGAATGCAATTATTGTTAAATGAGCTTAGATCAAATATCAAAAGTTAACTAGAACAGTAGTGTCCAACTCCACCCAGCAGCTCCAATCCAATCCAGGTCAAGAATATTATAGCAAAATATGAGACTTGAATACAACTTCAGATAGTTACAATTATAAGGAAGGTATGAGAAGGAGAAACTAAACCTAAGAAAATATTATTATAGAGAGAAAAAGGGAGCTCCCTTCAGTCCAAGCAAAGAGAAGAAAAGGAAGAAATTTACCTCCTGCATCATTCACACATTCACAATAGCATTCTATGATTCCTTATCTATTGTGTTTGAATCAATGAGTCAGCAGGTAATTCTAACCCCTTACCCTTCCATGAGTGGACTGAAGGAAGCTCTCTTCATCTATCCCTAATTCCCAACAAAATAATATCAATATTAATATTGATCCAAACCTCCAACCATGCACACCAATAAAATTAATATTGATAATATTTCACCAGATCTAATGAAAAAATATTCATATATAATTGCAAAAAATTTGTTCAAAACATAATGTAAATGGCTCTCAAAAGAAAAGGAAAAAAAATTAAAAGAACCCTAACCCTAAATCTTAAAAATTTCCAAAAGCACAAAAATTTGAGATTTTCTCATCTACATCTCCCTTCACCAAAGGAGAATTTCTTACCACTAAATTGACTAACATGCACTATTCAAGAACATTATACACATCTACTACCCAGTTTAAATTGTGAACATGATTAAACCAAATAATAATCATAATTTAAATTAAATTTGTAAAAAAAGTCAACTTATGTGTTATAAACCAAATAACAAGCATATCAATCAAATCAAAAACACCTTAAACTTACTTAGTTTGAGATTTACCATTCTCATAATGTCATGAATCCAAAGCTTCAACTAAAGATAAGCTGAAAAAAGTGAGAAATAACATGATAGGATATAATAAAAGGGTTAAGAAAATATGAACTAAAAGAGTTGAGAGAAAATATGTTAAATCTAATCAGATTAGAAACAAAGCAAGTGAAATTAAGAGATGATAAAAGGGGAAAGGAAGGGATAGGAAAGGAGAAGAGATGAAAGGTCAGATGAAAAATGAAGAAGTTTTAAAAGAAAAAAAATATGAGAGAGAGAGAGAGAGAGAGAGAGAGAGAGAGAGAGAGAGAGAGAGAGAGAGAGCAGTGTCACTGTCTTCATTAGAGTCAGAGATTAAAGGAAAGCGATTGAAGATCTTAATAACCACACAAATCTGGAAAAAGCACTGTTTTCCAAAAGAAATGAAAACAAAGGTAAGCAAAGATTAGCTTTATCTTTTACATAGCAAGAGAATTTATGACTTTTGTAAAGTTATATACAAGATAAAAGAGAAAACAAAACTAGAGTTATTTCCCTTACTTGTTGCTACAATTCCTTATAACAAATCAATCAACTCCTGAAACTGAAAGAGACCATTACCACACTCACACACAATCCAACCTATATCATAGTACTGTTTATGTAGTATAGAGAAAAGAGATAAAAAATGAAGATAGTGGGATGAAAGGTGGGGTTTCTTGTTTCCACTTTAAGTCATTATTCATTCTCTCTCTCTCTCTCTCTTCTTTTCTGCCACTCAACTCTAGTACAGTACTACTAGTATTTTCTATTACACTCTACTATGACTACTCAATATAACAATAATTATTATCTATATAAAAAACCTTTTAGACTTTAGTAATCTCATAATCTACCAACACCTCAATTTAGTGTAAAATAATAGTCTTCTTAAAACATTTAAATTTAAATTAATATGGAAATGTCATGTGGACTTTTATTTCTTTTTTCTTCTTTTATTTAATGTGGTTTTTGAAAGTGCAGTTCTTACTGTTAGACTATTTTATTTATTTATCTAATAGTTTGCATTAAAATATATAGTTAATTCCTTTCAGTATAAAATATATCTATAACTTACATTAACATATATTATTAACGTTGTTTATTTGTTAGTTAATATAAATTAATAAATTGGAAATAAATATATTAATTAACTAGAAATTTACATATTTTAATAAGTTGAAATTAAATAGAATAAATTAAATAGGAAATTAACATAAAAATATATTAATTAATTATATTAAATTGGAAATAAATTAACATTATTAAATATATTAAACTGGAAATAAATATATTTTAATATTTTAATATTTTAATATTTATTAATAATAAAATGATAGTAAAAATATATCTAATTAATTAATTGAAAATAAGTAATAAACTGAAAGTAAAAATATATCTAATTCGTGTTTTAGTATAATATTTTAGTTTATTTTATATACTTTCAGTTTAATTTAAATAATAAATAAATGTTTAAATAACAAATAAATATTTAAATATTGTAAAAGATTTAATTTTATTTGATATTTAATGATAAGGTTTATGGAAATTATAATTTCAATTTAAATATTTGAATAAATTTATTATTTAATAAATTGAAAGTAAATAAAATATATTTAATAAACTGAAAGGAAATAAAGTAAATATTTAAATATTTGAAGAAATTTATTATATAATAAACTAAATAATTTATTCTGTTGAATAAATTTATTTTTTAATAATAAATTGAACATAAATAAAACTAATAAACTGAAAATAAAAATATTTTAAAATTTTAATATTTATTAATAATAAACTGAAAATAAAAATATATCTAATTAATGAATTGAAAATAAATAATAAATTGAAATCAATTATATTGTTTAATTAAATTTTTACGCTTTACATATAACATGTGGAGATTTCTTTTGTAAACAACTTGTGATCTAGTGGTAAGGTTATCTATGCAATGAGGTGAACTCCACTTGAATGATGAAGATACTTTATTGTAAAGATTTTGTTTATTTTAATAGATGGTTAATTTATTCGATATGATGGAGATAGTTCGTTGCAAAGATGTTATATACTCTAATGGATGGTTAATCTCTTCGATATGATGAAGATAGTTTATTGTAAATATTTTGCTTATTTTAATGGATGGTTAGTTTATTCGATATGATGAAGATAGTTCGTTGCAAAGATGTTATTTACTCTAATGGATGGTTAATCTCTTCGATATGATGAAGATAGTTCGTCGAATCTCTTTGATATGATAGAGATAGTTTGTTGTGAAAACCTTACACAGGTGGTTACCTTTTAAGGAGCTTGTTTGTTATCCATTTCAACTAGAAGACTTAATTAAAGAAAAATCTGAGACTCGTTCGTCGTGAGGAAGTTTATTGTTACTCGTTTCAAGTGGAAGACTTGATTAAAGAAGAAACTGAGACCCGTTCGCCGTGGGGAAGTTTATTGTTACCCTTTTCAAGTTGAAGACTTGATTAAAGAAGAAACTGAGACCAGTTCGTCGTGGGGAAGTTTATTGTTACCCTTTTCAAGTTGAAGACTTGATTAAAGAAGAAGCGGGAACCCGTTCGTCGTAGGGAAGCTTATTGTTATCATTTTCAAGTGGAAGACTTGATTAAAGAAGAATCTGAGACCCGTTCGTCGTGGGGAAGCTTATTGTTTCTTTTGAGATGACCTTATCTTGTTTCTCTTTTCCTTTTCTTTGGGCTTTTTCCCAAAAGGATTGAGTTCTCTTTTCTTTCGCCGAGTTGAGTCAATCTCTCCCCAGTGGACCCGGTCTTTTCTGGATTTTGTTTTTTTTTTCTTTTTCCCCGTGAAGTTTTATCATACCTTCGAGGATTACTTATTCTTTCTTATCCGCATTTAAGCATGTTTTCTGTTGTAGCGTCTTAGAGCCAAAAAATGTGCATTTTTATATTTAAGTACCTCTCATCGCGTCGAGGCAAAGACTATGATTTTCACATCTCCGAATAGGAGAAACTTAAATAAGGGCATCTATTGTACCCTAATTTTTGACCTAAGATCCCACCTCATTTAACATCATTTAGGAATCATATCATTCATCTATGCATCACTAACATCATAAAAATACAGAAGTTTGTCTTATTGTGTTTGTTTCTTATACAAGATAGGTGTGTTGAAGCAAGGAGTCTTCAATTGTGTATCACTCAAGGCTTCATCATATCATGGACTTCAAGGATATCTTAGCATGCTAAGGATTGCATCATAGTTACAAGATTCCTTTGAAATTGGAAGATTTTAATTCACTTGGAAAAGTCAATTGTCCAAAGTTAAACTTTGACTTTTGACATTTTTGGTCAAATATGGACTCCCCAAGTTAAATTTCTTGAAGATGTGATTAATATATGGATTTGATCAAGAGAAACCACAAAATTGGAGATTACTTGCAAAAAGGGCAAAGTTGAGAATGTTGGAAATTTCCCTAAGTCCCCAAATTCTCATGTTCAAGTATACTACTTTGTAAGCTTGTAATTTCTTCATTAAACCACCATTTTTCTTGCTCTGATGCTCAAAATGAAGATGATATTTCATACTACAACTTTGTCAATAAGGATTGATCTCCAAAAAATGTATGGATAAGAAGATATGAGCTCATAAAGTCATGACTTCATTAACCAACACTTAGAGAAAAATTTCCAGCATTTTGTCCTTGTCAAGTAGCTAACTTTATGGCCATTTATCTCCATGATCTAAATTGATTCAGTCCAAGTGTTCATCATAAAAGTTGTAGATAATGATTTAAGTTTTCCAAAAAATCCAAGAGCATGAAA